ATTTCATTTTTTCATCTGAAAGAGGTAGACTGTTGACTATTAGATGAACCTGTGCTTCCCAGTCATCACTTGATGGATTATGTCTTGGTAGGATGCTCGTGAGAGGGTGTCTGGGATAAACATTTCTTTACCAGGCTTGTATTTAAGAATGATTTCATATTTCATGAGTCGTAGAAGCATCCTCTGAAGCCTGGGTGGTGCAGATGACAAAGGCTTTTTGATGATCACTTCCAGTGGCTTGTGATCTGTCTCTACTGTGACCTGGCGCCCATAGACATAGTAATGAAAATGTTCAACTCCGAATACTACGGCAAGCATTTCTTTTTCTATCTGAGCATATCTTTTTTCACATTCTGTTAAAGACCTAGATGCATAAGCCACCGGTCTCTCACTTTGAATTAAAACTGCTCCAAGTCCTTCTTGCGAAGCATCCATTGACACCTTGACTGGCTTTGAGACATCATAAAACGCTAGCACTGGAGCCGATGTGATTACATTCTTTAATTGATCAAATGCAGTTTGCTTTGTTCAAGCCACACCCACTCGTTATCTTGTTTGATCAACTCTTGCAGGGGTACAGTTATATCTGTAAGATTTGGGAGAAATTTTCCAAGATAATTAATCATTCCTAAAAATCATTCCAACTCTTTGTGATCTGAGGGACATGGCATGGACTGTATCACCTCAATTTTAGAGTTATCAGGTCTAATTCCCCTATCCGTAATAATGTGTCCTACAAATTTTACTTCATTGACCCTCAAACAGCATTTTGATGGTTTCAATTTTATCCCTTTTTCTCTGGCTGTATCGAGTACTTTCTTCAATCTTTTATCATGTTCTTCTATATTTCTGCCAGATATCAGAATTTCGTCCATATAAGTTTCAACACCTGGAATATTTTCAAAAACCTGGTGGAACATTTTAGCAAATATTTCTGCAGAATAATTGAATCAGAATGGTAGTCTCATAAACTTGTACCTTCCAAAAGGTGTATTGAAAGTTGTTAGATCTGTACAATTTTTTTCAAATCTAATTTGCCAAAAAGCTGAGTTTGCATCCAACACAGTGAATATTTTGCTTCCACCAAGTCTACTAGATATTTCTTCAATGGTGGGTAATTGGTAATGTTCCCGATGAATGGCAGTGTTAAGGTCTCTAGGATCAAGACAGATCCTTAAACCACCGCCTTTTTTTTCAACAATTACCAGAGAGTTGACCCATGCCGTGGGATGATCCACTTTCTCAATGACACCTTCAATTTCCACGCGCTCAAGTTCTTTCTTGAGGTCATCTCGCAATGCAGCTGGAACTTTTCTAGCAGCATGTACCACTGGCCTAATAAGTGGGTCAATTTTGAACTCCTCTTCCATGGAACCAAGACCACTGAAAACATCTGCATAAGAAGACAATGTTTCATCTCCAATAAATCCACTCTTTTGATAAGATTGAGTTGCTGGCAACCTGACAGTCCCATGATTGGCTTGGACTGGGTTTTTACAATTTGAAATTCCAACATCTCAGTTTTTTCCTTTACTCTGCATTTGATCAATGCCTTGCCCACAACAGACAATCGTTCACCACTGTATGTCGTAAGCCTTGCAGTTGACTTCAGAAGTCCTTTCTTTCGAAGTTGACTAAACAGTCTATATGGGAGAATGTTCACCTGCGCTCCAGTATCCAGTGTGAAGGTTATTTGCCTGCCTTCAAGAGTCACTACAGATTTCCACTCATTGCTAAGTATGTTGTTTAGGAAAACATTACCAATGAAAAACGTTTCTCCACTGGCTCTAACGTTAACTTCTGATTGTGAAGTGACAACTCTAATAGACCTGCATACAGAGGAAAAATGATACTGTTTGCCACAGTTGTGACATAATTGACCATATGCTGGACATTTTCTTGGTGGATGTTGCTTGCCACAATAGTTGCAATTTGTATTTGCACGTGGTCTTCTTGATCTTCCCTGAATCTGATGTCACTGCCTGTACACCTTCTTCATTCATTATCTTGAGTTGCCACTCCATTGTCTCTGCTGCCCTGCATATGTTTTCTGCCTTAATGAGGGTCAGGTCAGATTCTCTATGTAGTCTAGCTCTGAAGTTGTCACTCTTAATGCCTCCTACAATTCTGTCCTTTATCAACGAGTCTGTAAGACTTTCGAATTCACACAACTTTGCCTTCAGTTTGAGGTCAGTTAAAAAACAATCAAACGTTTCTCCTTCACTTTGATTTTTTGAAAAAAACACATGTCTTTCAATGGTCACATTTTTCCTTGGTAAACAGTACCTCTCAAACTTTTTCAAAATACAGTCAACCGTGTGAAAAGAAGTAGCTATGTCACAATGTTCACATTCTTGGCTAGTCCACTGGAAAGTATTGAATATTTCCACTGCCTCCTGTCCTATCACGTGTAATAGAGTCATGCTCTGCACTTCCTTACTCTTCGTATCAAGCCCACTGGCTGTTTTGTAAATGTCAAACCACTGTTTGAATCTTCTCCATTAGACAGCAACATTCCCACTTAAATCAAGCTCTTGTGGCGGGCGTAGTCGTTCCATACTGACACCATGTAATAGAAATGAATGATGCTCACTCTTCAGTGTTCGTGTAACAACTGACTTTATTTTGACCTTCTACAACCTTTTTATACTTCTACATAAAAGATCACTCATTCCAGATTTCCACGCATTTACGTTCAAAAACATTCATGAATAAAAACAACTCATGACGTCCAGTCATACTGTCACATCTCCTATATATATATATATATATATATATATATATATATATATATATATATATATGGCCTATAGGCCTAGAATAGTATATAGTATTACAAGTATAGGCCTAGCCCCCTCTCCAAATTATTATTTGTAGGATCTATTTTATGCAATGATATTTTAATGAATATTATTATTATGATTCTTAAACTTAAGGCATAAAAACTAAATTAAACTTTTTAAAAAATACTCACTCACCTTTGAAATTGAAATATCCTATATTTAATCACATATCACAATATTTCACAAGATAATTATTATATGATTCTCAGTATTCTCAAAGTAAAAACATGCTTTCTTTTACAATAATCCAAGAATTACTGAAGTTATTAATAAAGAACAATAATTAAAATCACTTATACATACGTCAAGCAAATGACTAGAACTTATTTTAATTTATTTCAACCGCCAAAGCTGATACTAATGATACATGTTGATTTAAAAAACAAGATCACTAACTTAAAATAAATGCCATACAATTTTTTTGGTCATATTTATATAGGACTATATATATAATATATACATTTTTAGAAAATGGTAAAATAAAGGGTATAAGCATGAATTTTAACTAAATGAATCAATTGATATGTGTATTATTTATTTATACTTATAAATTTTAAACGGTTCCACAGAAAAGTTAAAACTATTATCTAATGAATATTGTTGTTATTATTGGGAAATTAAAAAAAATATATTTAAAAAAAAATTAATTAAAAAATAATTAAATACAAATAGGTTACGAGTCAGGACATATAATAATAACTAGTAGTAAATAGTAAAACTCAAATCTTAACCATATTCTCATTTAATACTATGTTTTTATCTCATTTCATAATAAAGTTATAAGCTTTTAAACAAAAAAGCAAAATGAGTCTCATGAAATGTGGAGGAAAATTGCATAGTAAAAAAAGTGTTATTCCATGCTGATAAATGGTTTATTACCGCTAGATCAACGTTACTCCCAGCTGACTATGAATAATCACTCCTTTTAAATAATTATTATAAACATAATATCTTATTTTCTCCTAAATTCAATAAACTGGAGTGGAGTAATCATGTTAAAGACACAAAGCACAAATTTAGTGTGGTATTTTGAAAATTAATATTTAAAAAAGCAAGCAATTATTTGTATTTATAAAATATGAAGGAAAAAAAAAAGAAAGACTTTATCAGTGATTTCCACACTGATAAAATTAAGGAGTAATGCCAACACGAAAATTGAAAAACTGCATAAATTTATCCTTATCTTTGGTTCATTGAGTTCGAGCAAAATTTTGATATTGTTTGCAGTCATTTGAACCCTTAATTTTAACTTAGACTGAATAAGTAGGCTATGACAAAAGGATCTAAATTATAGACTTAAGTTTAAGCCTTTGATATTCATTTGAAAGATGTGTCAATAATTATAATTCACCTGTGGAACATATCAAATAATTTGGAATTTTTAAGTGTTGTGTTAATATTAGTAATTTTATTTGAGGACACTGTCAAACTTTGATATATATTTGATTGGTTTAATTCACCAGATTCCTCACACGTACATAGCCAATATACACTGAATTTAACATAAGTTAAGTGCTGGAAAAGCGTTGATTAACCAATAAATCTCTTAAAAACACACAGCTCACAATAAAACACAATATACATGGGCAACAATTATAAGTGAACTTCCATACTCGACAGACACCTTTGGAAATTAATTTATTATAGTTATTAGTAATTTAAGTACAGTAATTATTTGGTAGAAGAAGTCTAGTTGCTTAATATTTTGCGAAATATCAAATTTTAATAGTTACTTAATTTTTTCAATATCAAAGCTGACTTGTTGGTTTTCTTTAATTACATAAAAAAAATAATATTAGCTTAATAAAGTTCACTTACATTACTATTTTATAATAAATATTATAATACTTTGAAAGGCCTATCTAAGTCAAAGATAAGTGGTTATCCATCCTGTGTCCATGAAAAAGAACACAACAAAACAATGAACGTGTTGGTAAGAAGCCTTCTTCAGTGAACAAACACAGCAAAAACAATATAAAATTTTTAAAAACACTTAGCTGCAATGTTGTATCTGAGAGAACAGCTATAGGAAGGTGACCTGCATTTCAGTTAAGTGTTTTTAAATTTTATATACGTGCTACTCATTTTTTGCTCGCCGAAGAAGGCGTCTTGCTGACACATTATTATTTTTTTTTTAAAGATTCATGTTATCCCATACCTGGTTTAACAAATTTCCTTCAAGCTCCAACAAAGGTATGTCCAGATACAAGAGCAAAGATATGTCAAGATACAAAAGCAAAGATATGTCAAGATACAACCACAAAGATATGTCCAGATTCAAGACCCAAAACAAAGGGAAATAAGGAAAATTCTTTTTCCCAAGTTGTAGATGAAGATAACAAAAATAATGTGGTTCAACATACTAATGATTCTAAAACTACTAAGGAAATAGTCGAACCTACACAAGCATCGCAACGCGACTTAAATGGAGTCAAAGAACTTGATGAGAGTGAAGCACTAAGGTAAGTTTCTTTTCACTTAAAATATCTTACACCAGATCCATTATTTTAGTTTTTAAGGAAACATGCTTAAATTTTATTATTAGAAAGTATCAGTGTTTCAAAAGCAAGACAAAGTTTTTTTAAACAAATTGTGAGAATGCAACTGTTTGTGTTATGCCCAGTGTTGTTTTTTTTTTAATATTGAATTGTTGAACTTGAATGGCAGTCCAATGTCTCTTGTTACTTACTTTAATAGTAGGTAGTCTTTTGTTCTACTTGACATAAAACTTGATTTTCTGTATTCAAAATAAAAATTCTCCAGCTTTTGTTTATCCTAATGATCTGAGAATGGGTAGACAACTTAGTCTTGCAGTACAAGTTAATCTTTTAATGATCTGAGAATGGGTAGACAACTTAGTCTTGCAGTACAAGTTAATCTTTTAATGATCTGAGAATGGGTAGACAACTTAGTCTTGCAGTACAAGTTAATCTTTCAAGTATGAAATCCTCACTCACTTCTTTTTTTTTTTTTCCAAAATATGTTTGTAAATATTTAGTTCAATGAAGAGTGAATTGTAAAAAATAATCTTAACATATTATGTTTGTGTAATGTTATGTTCTACAATGCCTTGATTTCTCTATTTATTTGTTACAGTTTTGAACGTAATACTGTTCAGAATTTCCAAATACAGCAGAAGGTGATTGAAGAAGCAAACAAACACAAGCGAGCTCTTTTGTCAAAAGCAATAGAAGATAGGTGAGATTTTAATGCATGCAATATGTATGATAGAGTTTAATCATACATAAAAGATTATGACATTCAATTCATCAACATTTCTCACTTTTATTTAGTCACTTTTAGGACCTTTTTCCAGTGGTCCAGTCTTGCTGGAACGAGTTTCTGGACTTTTTTGTTTGTTGCCAAGTAATGAATGCATATTTATTTTTGGAGGAGGGATCTTGGGTGCGTTCCCTCAATTTTATTTCCCCTGGACTCAACCCCTGCCCCTTTCCATGCAGAAACTATAAGCTTTTAGGGTCTAGTTGAAGTGTATCTTTAAGTTGAGCATTGCATAAAGTTTTTAGATCAATTTAAAGATGACACTTACTTTCCAGGAGAAAACAAGCTAAAGCTGAGGCAGAGAAGTTGATGAAAGTTCAATAAGAATTGAACCATCTTGACAGTCTGCTTACAGCCGATGTCAGCATAATCAGAGATAAGATTGAAATAGCCAGCTTAGAGTACAATGATGCTCAGTGAGTTTTGTCATCCTCGTATGCATGGTGCACTGAAGATTGTCAATGCACATTTACTCATCAATTTAAATCAAGTTGCTAGAGCTTACATTACCATTACATATTATTTGTAAAATATTTTGTGAAATATTTTCGTCCATTTATTTTAAATTTCTCAGCTTTTTAAAGTATATTTTCATTGTTCTATTAATATTTCAAATCCATCGTCTTGATTTATTTCGTTGTTTTAATCTTGTGTCAATGTTTAATATTTTACTTTTGCACAATTTTTTGGTTTGCCACCTGACAAGCTACAAATAAAAAGTGGTTTTCAATTCTCTTTCTAGGAAATAAATATCACCTACCTACATCTATTTATCTGATCTTATCCATTTTCAGACAATGCCACTAATGTTTGTATCGTGCCCAATTGTTTTTATTGATGAACTTAAATGGCAGTCCAATGTCTCTAGTTACTTTAGTAGCAGTTAGTCTTTTAACAAAATAAATCCTTTTATTGTACTTGACAGAAAACGCTATGAGAGAGCAGAAAAAGAATTTGTTGCTGCCAAATTCGACTTGTTTTCTAAAGGGGAAGTGAAAGAGCAACTGACACAGCATCTCTACACCATCATACACCAGAATGAGGTGAGAAAAGCCAAGAAACTGGTCGAACTGATGGAGAAGCTAGCAATGGATGTCACGCCTGAAGAAATGGAATTGACCATACCAGCCATCCCACAGCTGACAAACTTTACAGCAGTGGCAACACTTCATGACCCGCATCCTGCCAAGGGTGATAACAAAGGGGGTAATGAAGGTAATGGTGGAGCTCAGAAATTAAGCAGAGCAGACGGATTGGACGGTGCAAATGTCTCTAAGCAGGAAGTTAACAGTACGCTACCCAATTGCATCCTGCCAAGGGTGATAACAAAGGGGGTAATGAAGGTAATGGTGGAGCTCAGAAATTAAGCAGAGCAGACGGATTGGACGGTGCAAATGTCTCTAAGCAGGAAGTTAACAGTACGCTACCCAATGCTGTCTCAAAAGAAGCTGAAAGTGTAAGTGATTTACCTCCTGCAGCTCCAGTATCTGATAGGGTTAATGTTGACACTCAGGTGAATCAGGATGGCTGTGATCAGGTGCCAACACCAACTATAGAGCATTCAGGTGCAAAAACTTCTAGTTTAATTTCAAATGATGGTGCACCTGATGTCATTAAAAACATTTCACCCATCACATCAGAAGAAAATATAGTTGAGCTTTCAAAACAACAAGAAATTGTGCTAGCACTTGGCCAGGAAAATGATGTTATATTTAGAGATATAACTAGCCAGAATTCATTAGCATCTTCACCTTTAAGTTCAGGACGTGGATGGACACATCCTTTCACATAATATGGCTTCCAAAATGTCTGATAAATGTGTTTTTATGGCTAATGCCAAACAGTTTTATGTTTTGTAATATATTGTATTTATTTCCATTTTGTATTTCTGTTAAGTGCTATGAAACAAAAAATATATTGGTCTGAACAGGCTGGTCATTAATAGAAATCATTAATTACTAAACTTGCCACACTAATGCTTTAAGGACCAATGTTTGCAGTACTGGTTGAAAACATTATCATTTTTGTATAAGGTCACTCCATACCCTTCACTATGATTGTAGCAATTAGCAGCACACACAAATGGAATAATCTCACCTAAGTATGGAGCTATTGTGATGTTTTGTAAACAGTTGGTCAGTTCCACTGTATAGTTCATTGTATACTTTGTAATTAAAGCACATGTTTTTGGGGTTGTTTGATATAAATTTACAATAAATACCTTCATACAGGCTGCAGAATCTTGAACTTATTTTATATATGCCAGAAATAACCTGCCAAAAAATTATTAAAAAATCTACTGACTTTACTTGATAAAAACATGTCAGTTAAATAATGCACTTGATAAGAATGTCAATTAATGCTAAATTCTGGTAATTATTATTTTACATTTATTTCTAACTTTTAACAACAATACTTACATTTTAAAGAATTTATATATTTACATATAGACCTATGCATATTTATTTTGCCAGATTTAAATTGTTTTGATTTAGATTGATTTACGTTTTAAAAAAATCTCACCATCAGTGTTTTTAAGAATCCCATTTAGAAATAGTAGTTGTATCTTGCGCAGCTGTTGATAAAAAATGTACACACTGTTTAGTGCACTTTTGGGGAAATTTATTATTTGTGTGCTCTTGAACAGACATACAGACATCCTTGAGAATTATTTGTGATTTACTTGGTCTTTAAAAATCTGCTCTTTTTTTTTACAAATTTTTATATGAAAATTATTATAAAATTTAATATTTTAAAGTATTTTTATTTTATACAGTAATATTAATAATTTTTCAATACAACCTCTTGTTGCTTAATGAATGTTTAAAATGTTTCAAATCCAATATTTTGCCATTATATGCCTTATATTTGAGATGGTTTGTTGGGATGTTTTTAGTACTTTAGAGGTGAATCATTTAATATGTAAATCGGTTCTTTTCATGAGCAGTTTGGCTTTGATAATTCATTTAGAAAACTTTGACTTCCCGTTGGATGAGAAATTAGCATGATTTTCTTATTAAATTTTTAAAAATCCACAAGTCCTGTGATTATTCTTTTTAAGATTATAACCTGGTTCACTATACAGCAAATCGCCTCTCTCCACGCCGTTGGATAACCCAAGGGAACATCATATGTGGATGAGAGTTTGGCACTAGTGGCGTTGCAGGAGATGTCAGTTCATTGTGCCAATTATATCTGCCTGTAAGACTCCATCTCCGGGTTTGAGTTCAGAGTTTCCTTCTCTTAAATGAGTTCCATTGAAGGTTAACGAGTCCCATCAACCCCCGGACTGAGCTCCAAATCACAAACTTGAGATTGACTCAGTTCAGACCACTCGGCCACCCAGCGCCCAAAATTAACAGCCCTAATAAATAATATTAAAGCATCCAGTCTATTGAAATTTCAATATCTTCATTAATGATTGATTTTTCAAACACACAGTTACTCTTAATAAAGCTTTGGAATGTAAATGTTTAGTTACTACTCACATCCGATCTGTTTTGTGCAATTGTTTGAATAGGATTATTTAATTATTGTTGTTTATTCACTGTATTATATCCCATACAAAGTTATTTTACTGCTCACTACAAATGGACATGTACTGCTATGCATCTATGCAAAGGTATGCCAAATATTTATTATTACTTATGACATCCAGAAATGTTGCATTACTTAATCACCCTGCTGAAAAATGAGAGCTATGCATATTGAACTTACTTTCACCTCTATAACCTGGAGTGGATCACACCATGATAGTATGTCTGTGCAGTGTTTAATTTTCACTGCATTTTGGGGATTTTTTTGTCTCTGGGTCAGGTAAAAAATAAGACAGACACTTAAAAGCATTAGTACCGTAACAAAGAAACTGTTTTTTCTATTTTAAGAATTAAATCTGGGGTTTGTTTTTCTTAAAATTGTATTAACAAGTCCATCAGATCTTCAAAAAGAGTTTAGAGTTTATAATATATTTACCTTCACCTATAGACAAAATCATATTTCCCCCAATTTCATATGCTTTATGGCAAGTGGTGGGGTTAAATTACTTTTGTTATTTTTCTTAAGATGCAGTTTGGTGATTTTTACAAATTCTGATAGCTTAAATACCTTCATCAACACAACCAATTAAAAGTCTTTTTATGAAAAGATGTCACCTAAAAGTTCACAGAAACAGTGTATAAAATGAAATATAACAAAAACTTTGTCTTCTGTGATAGTTGTTTTAAAAAATATTTGTATTTTTGATTGTGACTGAATTTGTACTTAGGTGGGTTTGTTTTCCTTTGCTAAGTACTATATATGTAAATTAAATAAAATATTTACTAATGACATTTAAAAAAAAAACACAGTATTTATAGCATGTGTATTGTATGTTGAACAATATTCTTCCATGTGATAAATTTTTTTATTCAGATATCATTGAGAGGGTATATTATAAACAAATGCTTTTTCTTAATGTAGGTTTAATGATAAGGTTCATTATATTTTATAATACAATCGAGAAATGTTTAAGTGGCCATGACAATAAGTAACCAAAAAAAACTGCCTCAAATTGAGATTGTTTAAAAATTTCTTTAGAGTTTTAAATATTTGTTTCACAATATTCCTGAAATTACATTTTTTTTTCTAATTTGCTGAGTAAAAGATCTGATTTTTAAAAAGATTGATACATGCTCATAAATAAAAAGGGTTCATTATAATTACTGACTCTAAATTGTTGTTAATTCAGCTAACTATATTTTTTTTCAGGCATACAAACTGCTACTGCTGCTGAATACTGTAACCATACTAATGTCATATGGTCATGAAATTTAAGGGCAATAAAAAGGGTAGAAAACTAATGAGATCTACATGTTCTTTTTTATAATTTATATTGTGGTTTGTGTGTTTACAATTTTGTTAACCAATCAGTGACTTGATGCTGTTTTTACCTTAAACATCAAGTGATGAAAATAGTGAGAGCAAGAACACCAGCATTCCCCTTTTATTATTTATTATAACCTTTAAAAGTTTAATCTGCAATATGCCATGTCTAAATTAATTGGGAGTCGATGACTTGCATGTATTACAAGTAGGCCTTAAAAGTCTCTAAGATTGCAGGACTACCTAGTTTGCACACCATGCCATTTTATATTGGTGTATAATAACTGATTAGTTACTAAAAAAAATTTCAAACAATAAACTTAAATAAATATAAAATGATACATGTTAACATATGCTTACCGGTACTCTACACTTTACACAATTTTAAATTAGTAGTTATTTGATAGCAACCGATAATATTTTTATTCTTTTTGTTGTTGTTGTTGTTTTCATTTGAGAGTGAGTCATTTGTAAGTTGATAAAAAGCAATCATTACTGACAAAAGTAGTAAAAAAATGACTTTCTGCCATTAAGTTAAATTATAGAAAAGCCGTGGTTGTGAAAATAAGCTTTTCCGTAGCAGTTAGACTGATTCGGTAATTAGACGAACCATTTTTCAAGGATGTAAACAAAGGCCAAGAAAGCAGACAGGAACACAAGTCAATTGTCAATTCAGTCAGTGACAATTTTATCTGAAGCTGATCCAGCTCGTGATAGACTTCATACATTTACTATATAAATATTCCTTTCATGTTATTATATGAGTTAATCTAACTCCATTGGCCTTCAAATAGAGTCAGTTAGACTCAGGTCAATAAGATAATTTATTATATTATTATAAATACTTTAAATAGTAAGTATAGTATTAAAATTAAATAGGAAATATTTTAAATTAAATTAATAAATATAAAACACAAAAGTCAATTTAAATCTAACTCTAACTAAGTGACAGTTAGTCTAAGTCATAAGTTTAAGTTCTTTCGGTAACCTGTTCTTTCTTTAAACTTAATTTTAACACAAACATCAGCATCACATTAAATTTTTAAAAGTTTTTGATGTTTGAGTCCATTGACTTGAATGTTGGTGATGTTAGGCAGCTATACTGTGACATATGTATGATGTAGACTGTATAATGTAGGTACTTTGATAAAAAAATTAAAAAATTTGTAAAATAATAAACCAATGGCATATCATAGCTGAATAGAGCTAATTTTTTTACAGAATTATAACACCAAAGCCAAAATAAAATTTTTAGCTGTTGTAGTTTTAGAGCTATGAATTTTTAAAGCATGACTTCATTTGTCCTTTTTTGACATGGACTGCATCTCCATTCTGTGACCCACTTCCACTGGTCGTGTCACGAGCTATATATATCACTCTCATCGTTTAATTTTTAGAACTAATGCCAATGCTGTATTAAAAAATAAATAATGTAATACAAATTATAGATAAATTGTAGCTTATCTAACTATGCACTATGTATATCAGTAAATTTAATATAATGCATTAATATATGGCTTTTCTGTTACCAAATCTACGGCGTCCATTATACCGGTATATGCCATATAGTCTATATAAGGCAGCACATCCCCTTCTAAAATACTGTTTGTGGACTACTTATTTTGAACTTTCAACTTTGGCACGACATAACTAATTAAAGTTTTTCCTAACCAATGGTTTAATAATTTTTGCACATGGCAAACTTTTATGAATGAAACTCTGAGATAGAACTACGGTATAGCCATTAGGCAGGTGACTGTGAATGGCTGCCCATGGCCATGTCATTTTTATAATGTCAGTTTATAATATGGACTCTACCGGGTTTTTGAACCTCAAATTAAAATATTATTGTTTAAATTACATCTAAGTTCATTCTAAAACACAATTTATCAAATATCATGATGTAAATAGTGGTAATATTTAAAATTTATTATCAGCATCTTCACCCCCCATCAAAAAGGGGCGTGGTCAAAGTGGGGCAGGGTGACCTTATAGTAATGCAGGTCACTCAGATGAGCATAACTAATGGCCGACATGCCTAGATCAATAAGAATTGGCACACGTATACATCAATATATTTTACAGATATAAAATTAATATGAAAGAAATAAAATTTGAACTTCATATGAAGTTTTGTAGGGAAAGATGCTTTATGAATTTCTAATATTGGGGTCAATTGAAAAGGCAAAAATTTATTATGGAAATGTAGGTCAAGATGTCCAATATTGTTTATGTATGGATGAATACCACAATTTTATGACAAAATAGTCCTTTCATCAATGAAAAAGCACCGACCTCCAAAAATGAAAAACTTGAATTCTTCTGCGCCGATTTCCATTTCCCATTAAAATTTAGAAGTAGTCTCCCTTGCCTTACCAAAGTGCCTAGTATAATGCATACCCACTTGAGTCTAAAACTAAAAGTACTCATATATATAGTCAAACTCGAGGTGTTAGAAACACCATTACTCGTAAAATTCAATACTGAAAACTGACTAGGCTTATAACTTACACTTATGTTTTATAACTTACAATTACAATGCATATATTACTCTTTTAAATTTAAATTTAATAATCAATTAAGGGCTAACGTGCTGTAGAGAGTTAAGAGAGTACTAACTGACTTATACACTTTTATAATGCTACTGTATGTAACCTAATTACTAGATTAGGGCAAGGACCTAATTTGGTTATGTAGACAAGTAATGAGAAAAATGTTTGATAAATTGTGCCTATACTATAAATACTATATTAAAAATGGCGTTAAAAAAATATTGTGACTTCTCAGGTCCCTATGTTTTGTAAAAAAAAAATACTAAGTCTAATATTTAATCTGATTATAATAATTATTATAAAACTTTAAATGTCATGAGTTTGACTCACAGAGTAAGCTTTTGCTTTCATTTCAAATTTTCCAGACTATTTTTATGACCATTAAGGGCCATCCATAAATGATGTCATGACTCTAGGTGGGGGGTCACATTTTCATGATGATAGTTGGCGGGGTTAAGCAATTAAGCTTTTGCTTTCATTTCAAATTTTCCAGACTATTTTTATGACCATTAAGGGCCATCCATAAATGATGTCATGACTCTAGGTGGGGGGTCACATTTTCATGATGATAGTTGGCGGGGTTAAGCAATATGTCGCCACATTAATAGCAGAGCATTCTTGACAAAAAATGGCCCTTAATAACACTAAATTACAGACATTTAACATTATTGTTTTATACAAAAATTATAATTTTTTTATTTTTAAACAACAATAATTGAGAGAATCAGTTAAGAATCACTGTTCCTGGGAAATGTTTCTGACACAAGGGCAATACCGGTAATTTGATATCCACTGGGGTGGAGGGAGGAGGATTTTTAAAAAAAGAGTTTGTATAGGGCAGTAATGGACAGAGGGATTCAATAGCTGGGGGATTGGGGAGGGGTGAAGAGGTTTTTGACATTATATTTGTGCGTGGTCTAACTTTTTGTAATGATTGGGGGGGGGGGGGGGGTGTTTAAAAAATAGGCTGTAGATACATTAGCACATTAGCTGTGGTTGCTTGTAATTAGTACCGTCTTAAGATATTTTCACTCTAAGACATGCACACTTGTCTTTTTTATCTTTTTTATTCATTGCTGACTCATGTGAAATTATTAATTGCTGATTCATGTTTTATTTTTTTAACACAGAATGGCAAACAGAGACAGACCTGTTAACCTCAGCACAAAACTTCCTAACCATGTTGTCGGCAATCCATTAGCTTCGTCCCTAAATGGAAACTCAAGTAGTGCTGCATCACCTAACCGAAGAAAACGTAAACAAGAGACGGTACACTCTTGTGAGTCTCCTTCTGGCACATCTAATATTCCGGGAAATGAACTGTCTAAATCTAAATCTAAATCTGAATCTATTGCTGTTGACAGTGCTATTGATACTCTTTTTAGACCCAACAGTCCAGTCCAGCACTCACATACCTTGACCAATGAAATGAGGCAGGAATTCATAAAGTCTTATGATGCCATTATACAGGACATCATTCAAATCAGTGACTGGTCAAAAGAATATATCACTGACTGTTTGATAGTTTTGAAATCTGCTGGACAGGAAATAAGTTTGCAGTCATTATGGCAAATATGTGAAGGAAAATATGCCTTCCCCATGCATAGAAAGCAGTCCAGTACCTTTAACTCCATTAGTTCTAATGGTCCAAGCTCAGCAGTAGGGTATGATCAACGTTCATATTTAAATCACGATGGCAGCTGTGTCAATGCATCATCCCTTGGTGGTCATTCAAAATTTTATAATCAAGCAAGTAAAAAATGCAGGAGATCATCTGGGGAAGTTCAAGACTCAGGTGACGGAGCTGTGAACTATAACTATGATTCTCTACCAATAAAAGACTTAGATGAAACTCAAAGAGCTTGTGTTTTGACCAGACAAGGCATTTTAACTTGCAATGATCTGCAGTGTGATTCTCAGGCTGAGTTCTCATCCACTGCACCAGATGTTGCACAGTCCAAGGCAGGGCTTGATTCAAAATCACAACATATCAAAAAGTTGCTATTGGCAGTTGAACATGAGCATAAACTATTAGTGGCCTACAAGCAGTGCATTGCCTGTGGATCTAATCAAAGGGGGATAACCTTTCTCCCTTGTGGTCACTTTGTAGCATGCAAGTCATGTGCTGTGTCACTACTGTCTTGTCCATCATGCAATGGAAGTATTGTTGCTACTGTTGACACTTTTTTAAGTTAATTCACATTTTTAAGGCTCTGTTATTAGTTGTTTTGTAAAAACTTTTAAAATATGATAGTATAATAGCTTTTCTGTTCATACAGTTTATTTTGTTAAATTAAGTGTTAGGTTTTTAAAAATTAATATAGTAACACTAACATCATTTTGATAAAAGCTACACTTGATTTAGTTAGTTTTCTTTTAATTACAGGCTTTAAAATT